GTTGTCCAGGCTGATGATCTCAAAACTCATAGAGTCAGGCAATCTGCCCACCTCCCAATCTGTGGTCCCCCCTAAAGCGCTGGGACTACACGCATGTGCCACCATGCCCAGCTATTTTTGTATTTTTTGTACAGGCAGGGTTTTGCCATGTTGCCCAGGCTGGCCCCAGAACTCCTGAGCTCAAGCGATCCTCCTGTCTCAGCCTCCAAGAGTTCTGGGATTGCAGGAACAAGCCTCTGTGCCCAGCCTGAGTGATTTCCTAAAACTGTGCACTAAGAGTCATATATAAGAGTACAGTAACCACCTGGCCTGACCCGGTGAGCACCCTGTGGCAATCCCTCTTTATTCTTGATGTCAAGGGTTTGCTATGCGCTTTTCCTTCCAGAGTTTCCTTTCTTTGAAACCGGAAAATGCTGTTGCCAATCAATTCAGGTGGATCCAGGATTCCAAGGCAGAACCCCAGGAGAAACCTTGGAGCAAACTACAAAAACTCAGACCAAGCAGCATAACAGAATCCCAGGTTGGAAGGGGCTTTCAAATGCAGCAAATTAAGCACCTCTGGAATGCAGTGTCCTCTCACCACCAGCAAAATCCTTTAACAGGTTGAGGAGGATGAAAGTACTGAGACCAGGTCTGCACAATGCCTCCTCACTGGGGCCTGGGCCCAGCAAGGTAGGAGGGTGACACGCCAAGTTCAGTGACTTGAAAGGTTATGCAAATCCCTTCGGCTGCCTCAGGATCCCACTTCCGGACCGGCTAGCACCCTCTCACTCCTGCACTGGGGCAAAATGTCCAGCGCTACCTCCCAGCTGCCCCCCGGAGTTCTGACAGAGGAGTGAACTTATATTCTGGAGCCCGCACTGGGCAGGAAGGTGGGCCTTGGGACAACCCTCAAAACAATGCAGCTGCAGCCCAGCCCCTCTAACTACAAAAAAAAAGAAAGCCCACCAGGTGTGGCAGTATAAACCTATAATCCTGGCAGCTACTTGGGAAGCTGAGGCAGGAGGATCACTTGAGCCTAGGGGTTCAAGACCTGCTTGGGCAACACAGTGAGACACCCTGACTCTTTAGACACACACACACACACACACACACACACACACACACACACACAGAGAGAGAGAGAGAGAGAGAGAGAGAGAGAGAAAGAGAGAGAAAGAGAGAGAGAGAGAGAGAGAGAGAGAGAAGACGAGACTATAATCCCAGCACTTTGGAAGGCCGAGGTGGGCAGATCACTTGAGATCAGTTCAAGACCAGCCTGGCCAATTGGTGAAACCCCACCTCTATTCAAAATGCAAAAATTATCTGGGCGTGGTGACATGCACCTGTAGTCCCAGCTACTTGGGAGGCCAAGGCAGGAGAATCGCTTGAACCTGGGAGGCAGAGGCTACGGTGAGCAAAGATTGCACCACTGCACTCCAGCCTGGGTGACAGAGTGAGACTAAGACTCAAAACAAAATAAATAAAAGGAAGAGAGAGAGCTCGAACTCCCTCCCCTTCTCACCTGAAGTCCCAAAACTACACAGCAGCTGAGCCAAGGAGAACTCAGGGCCCTTCTTTCCACCATCAAGGTTCTGTGCTGCTTCCTGCAATCTAACTAGCGGCACTCAACAAATGACCCCTACCGACTGCCCTGTCTTTCTGGGGCATTAACACCCACGTCTGAGGTGAGAACAATAGCGGCCCATCCACGGCTTTCAAAAAGCCACTCTACCAGGGATATGAAACACTAAGTGGGTTGTGCGGCTGCCCTCTAAGTCCACGGATATTTTAATCTTCTTAAAATGCCTCCTCCAAAAGTCACTTGCCAAGGAGGTCACTTCACAAACGCTAGGAGGCCACCACTGGATATTTCTCCTGTCGCCTCCACCCAAACGGCAAGGGGTTGAAAACGACGACAGGGCCTGGGCAAGCTTCTTTGGGCAGGCCCCCTCCTGATTCCGGGTAGAGAAGATTCCATGAAAATTCAAGAGACCTTCCAGTCCTCTGAAACTGCCTGGTTTCCCAAAGGCTTAGCATTTGATAGCAGGGGGTGGGGAAAAGGCCACTAGAAGCACATTTTAAAAGTTTCACATTTAAAAAGATCCTTGTTCATTGATTGTGGTGGGGTAATTAAGCTAATCTAAACAAGGGGACCTTGTCTAGGAGCGGGTGGGGGAGGTGCAGCCGCTCAGGTCCTTCGCAGGAAAACCCCTGGCAGACGCCTGCTTTTGGGGTCCTCTCTCGCCCCTTCCTTTTCACAAGGCTGTTCTTCAGCTGGGAGGTTTGCTCTGGTCAGATCTGTTTCCCGGCTCAGGTGGAGACAACCTTCGGATGGTGTCTCACTACGTGTCGCTTCGTCAGCATAATTACGCAGTGATGAAAACCTGGGGAAGCCGAGGAGGCTAGCGCGCAGCAGTCCTCACCCGTCATTAGCAGGAACGTGGCTTCCAGCACATTCTGGCTCCACAAATTACAGACATGACTCTGCCAGGGGTGTTCCCAAGGAGGGCACTGGCAATTTGGGGTTGCCTGCCACCTACAGTGCTTGCCAGTCACCCTCACTTGGTGCCAGGCCATGAGGCTGTGGGTCACAAGCCACCCGAGCCAGCCGCTGGGCTTTGGGGCCCTAGGGACGAGTGAGAGAGGGCACGGGGTGGTAGGCTGCACCACTGTTAGAACGACAATCACACTGCCCGAACCCCAGTGCAGCGCCCCTCTGGCCTCCCCTCCGCGCTCCTGACAACACAGATACGATCCATTCACCACCAAGAAGCTCAACAGCGGCTGCAATTCCTTCCTCGGCGCCTTCCTCCACTGGGAAAGCGGGGAGCTGCCGCAGCCCACTCCTCCGCTGCAGATGTGCGGGGAGGGCTGGGGCGGGATCTCAAGGCTCACGGAAAGGAGGCAGAATCCGGTTTACAGGATTGCTCCGCCCCTCCCCCACCCCTCCTCTGCAATAAGCAAAGTTAGAGGGTGTTACAAGCTGCAAGACACCTTGGAGCTCACCCAGTCCGATCTCTGATCTGCTTTCATGATGCGAAAGGGCCGAAGCTGCAGCAGGCAGCTCGGCGGGGCAGCAGGCCACTCCCCCCACGAGCCCCGGGAGGAGGCCACCGGCAGCCTTCCCCCTCCCTGCCCGGTGAACACCTGGGCCACAAAAATACATCTTTAAATACCCAGTGTGTATTTCAAACACATTTCCAACGATCTGTTCCTTTCCTTACAGCCACTGCCACAAAAACAATTAGCCTGAATGGGTGTGAAACCCTTGATGTGTAAAACGACCTAGTTACTTCCCCAGCCTCTCCAGAAGCACAGGAATTCTTTACTGCGCCTGAGTCTCCTCCACCTGAACCTGACAGCTGCCTCTCCTCATCCTCAAGTGGCTTCTTCTAAACCTCTCCCAAGCATTAAATCATCTCCGCTCACTCTTTTAACACGCAGTTCGAACCTAGCAAAAAGGTGAGGAAATTACTCATTTTTTTTAAAGGACCGTGGGTGTTACCTGCTCTGATTGCCATGTGTTACACTCCCTAACCTGTACACCGATACTCCAGCTTTTCGTTTTCTTACTTTTTCTTAAAACCAGCACAAAACAGCAGAAAGGAAAGATTCCTGCCAAACTCTACCTGTCCGCCCATGGCACAGGAAGGACGAGCCCATGTGCGGAGGAAAAGTGCAGGGCGCTCCAGGACCCCCGGCACATGCAGCGGCGCCTTTCCTCAGCAAAATGGGCTTCGATTCGGAATCTGCCAGCTCATAAGAATCATCGGACCCCACAACAATTACTTCAATCACTCATCTGGCAAACCCTCCTCGCTCCAGGTCCCAGACTGGAAAAAACAGCCCCAGTAACAATAATAATGACAAGTCCTGTTTTGCTGGAGGCAGCTGAGGTATCAGATGGGGGTCAGTGGTTAGGTCTGTGAACCTGAAGCCACACTCCTTCGGTGATCCAGACTGGAGAGACACAAAGCCCTCAGGCTCCTTAGGAGGTCAAGTGGCCCTTCCAAACCCTGCCCAGCCCCGGCCTTCTAGAATCATTCTGAATGGCTAACCAGGAGGCTGGGCCCCGTGTGGATGGGCCTCCGCTGGAAACCCCTCTGCTGGATGTGCTCCAATCCAGAGCACACACCTGGGGGAGGAAAGGGTTAAGCTCAAAGGGGAAAGGGACACAGGGTGCTGAGACGCAGACAAAGGTGCAGGGACTTCCACACAGCAGGGGCTCTGGGCCTGGACGCACTGACGCCCTGGCCTCTTTCCTCCAGGAACAAGGTCGGCCTCAGGGAATCAAGGTGTCTTCAAAGGGACACACGGGAAGGCAGTGACCATGAGACCAGGGCAGCGCCACAGGCCGGCGGGGCAGGCTGGGGGTCCGAGCGGGGGGACACGGGCTAGCAGTGCTGCGAGGAGCGTGCGTGCACCGGGGAGAGGGCAGGGTGGGAAAGAAGGGGAGGGGGAAGGGAAGAAGGAAGTGTGTTCGGCTGGGAGGACCGGTACAGGCAGAAGGGCGAGGGGGCCACTTCGCCAGTGGCGGGTCAGGCGCTGAATTCTCAGAAGTCAGAGGCAGCAGGCAAGGGTGAGCAGGGCAGCACAGGGTCAGGACCAGGAGTCAGAGGCGCCGAGCTCCTCTCTGGGTAGAGAAACCCGAGGAACCGGGGTCGGGGGGACTGATGGGTGCGAAAGCGGGCCGGCTCCAAACGAAGGCGCGCGCTACGGCGTGGGGGCCGCGGGGGAGCAGGGAGGCTGCAGCAGGGCTGGGGACCAGAGCAGGTGCGGTCCGGGAAGAGGAGGCGGGAAGGAACCGGGGCCCCTGAGGAGCCGGCGCAGGCCGGGTCGAGGCGGGTTCCCTCCCCCGGAGAGGAAGGTGCGGGGCTGGGGCTGCGGCGCGGACCCGGCTCGGAGGCCGAGGCCGTGCGGGAGGTGGGGGTGGAGAGGCGGCAGGTGCCCGGTGCCCGGCGCCCGGGTGCGGGGTGCAGGGGGCGGCGGGCCGGGCGGCGGCGGGCCGGGCCACTCACCTGTCTCCTCCGGCCGGGCCGGGCAGGGGCGGCGGGGGCGCGGACCCCCGGGCGCACGGGGGTCGGGCGGCGGCGGCGGCGGCGGGTCCGGGCGGGGGCTGCTCCCTCGGCCGGCCGGCCGGCGGGTCAGTCAGTCAGCGACGCGGGCGCGGAGGGAGCGCTGCGAGGCTGCGGCCGGCGCGCGGGGACAACGCCGCTTTATCGGGTCGGAAACAGCCGCTCCGCGCCGCTTCCGCTGACGCAGCGCCGGCCCCTGCGCCTCATGACTATGCAGCACCCGCCGCCGCGGGACCGCGATTCGGGGGCGGGGTCTGCGCCGCGCGCGCCTATTGGCCTCCGCCGCCGCCGCCAGCCCCGCCCCCGAGCGGCAGCCCCGCCCTACCGCGCCCCCTGCCCCGCCCCCGCGCGCTCCGCGGCTCCCGCCCCCGCCTCGCCGTGGCCCCGCCCCCGGGCCTGGCCCCGCCCCTGCCCCGCCCTCCTCCCGCTACGCCCCCGGCCCCGGCTCCTCCGCAAGGAGCGGCCGCCCCCTGTCCTCCAAAGCACTGGCCCCCAATCCACCCCATCCCTCTCCGCAGCCGCAGGAGGTGGTCCCCGCACGCCCCCACCTTGTCTCCCCGCTCCTCCCCTGTCTCGCAGAGGGGTCCGGCGAGCCGCGGGGCCCCGCCCTCCGGCAGCCCAGCCCCTTAGCAAGCACCTTTGTCCCCTGTCCCCCCTGCCTGTGGCGCAGCGAGGCTGTCCCCAACTAGGTGCTGCAGCCCCTCCTCCGCTGCAGGGGAAAACTCTCCTGTCTTTCCCTCCCTGTCACCCTCCGAAGACCTCCTTCCTGGTCCCGGGCCACCCTCCATCCCTGACTCCCCCAACGTCCCTCCGGCCCTCTCTCCAACCTGGAGGGCAAGGCACGACGAAGACCCGACCTGGAGCTTCCGGAGGCTGGGCCTCCCTCTCAGGCTTGGCCCTTGCCAGGGGCACTGATCCGTCTCTCCCCCTGTGTAGAAGGGCCGCAATCCCTAGGACAGGGCTGCTGGAAAGCCCCATCAAGACGAGGTCTGGGTAGACTACTTTAACAGACAGACGTGATAGGCTGAGGCCAACCCTGTTAACGTCCTAGCCCTGTGCCCTTGCCGGGGTTTAAATGGCTTTGGAGGAATTACTTCACTTCTAAGAACCATGGCTGTCCTCATCTGTAAAATAGAAATCATAAGATTCCTCTTACCAGTTGCTAAAAGAATCTAGAAGTGAAGTGTGCAGCAGAGTCTCCAGAGCATCACAAATGGGAAAATCTGACAATATCAAGTGTTGACAAGGAAGTGGAGCAACTGGAACTCCCAGACACTGCTGGTGGGAAGGCAAAGTGGTACAACCACCTTCAAAATCTTCTTAAAAGGCCTTAATTACTCAGCAGTTCTGCTCCTAGGTACACACCTAACATCGTATTTCTGTTGCTAGCAGCACTGTGTATAATTGCTCCAAACTGGAAACTACCCAAATGTTCGTCAGGCATTGAATGGATACGTAAATTGTGATACTGTCACAACGCAGAATGACAGTGAATAACCTACAGCTACACATGGCAACATGATGACTGTCACAAATGATGTTGAGCAAAAGAAGCCAGAGGATAAAAACATATACGTTTTCATGTGGATAAAGTGGTAGAAGGTATATATGGTGCTAGCAATCAGGATAGTGCTTACCCTTGCAGGGATGGGTGCCAGAGCCAGGAAGTAGGGCATAGAGGGCATGTCTGGGGGCTGGCTGTGTTCTGTGCCTTGGTCTGAGTGCTAGTTACAGTGTGCTCAGTTTGTGATGACTTCTTCAGCTATGCAGTCAAGATGCATGTGCCTGCTGGGTACGGTGGTTCATGCCTGTAAATCTAACACTGTGGGAGGCCAAGGCAGGTGGATTGCTTGAGCCCAGGAGTTCTAGACTGGCCTGGGCAACATGGCAAGACCCTGTCTCTATTAAAAAAAAAAAAAAGAAGAAGAAGAAGAAAAAGAGATGTGTGTTTTCCCATGTGTAAGCAGTATCTCAGTGAAGGGTTAATAAGTACATCAACAGTCTGTAGGCAGAGAACCCAAAGCAGCATCGGACGCATCATGAGTGCTCAACCTTTACATCTGCTTCCCTGGTGATTTTTGACTCCAGGGGCCAAAGGATGGAGACGGCAGCAATTCCAGTTATGCTGTGAGCTAAGTGTGTGAGCCTGGGCACCTCCTTAACCTCCCTGAAGCCTCTTCTAGAAGGGAACATTCCAATAGTACCCAGTTCACAAGTTGTCATGAGCTTAAACAAAATAACAAAATAATGCTGTTTAAAAAGACAAGGCAATCCAGAGGATAGAATAGGTAAAGACTTTGTTTATTCACAAATTGCTGGTATTGATTGAATTGTCTTCATTGTCATTCATGCAGCAACCAACTACTGAGTGTGTGCCTACTATGTGGCACATGCTTGCCAGATCCTAGTACTGGAGCTGGAAGCGTGATCCCGTCCCTCTCCTTAAGGAGACGATGGTAGGGTACGTGCCAGACCCGATAGCCATGGAGCCCAGTGTAGGGTCAGCCTTGTAGTAGGTGCTCCAGAAATATTCCTTGGGGCTGGGCATGATGGCTCATGCCTGCAATCCCAGCGCTTCAAGAAGCTGAGGCAGACGGATTGCCTGAGCTCAAGAGTTCTGGACCAGCCTGGGCAACATGGCAAAACCCCATCTCTATGAAAAATACCAAAATTAGCTGACTGGGGCAGTGGGCACCTGTGGGCCCAGCTACTTGGGTTACTGAGGGAGGATAATCACTTGAACCTGGGAGGCAGAGGTTGTAGTGAGCTGAGATCTTGCCACTGCACTCCAGCACGGGCAATAAGGTGAGACCCCATCTCAAAAAAAAAAAAAAAGTTGCTAGAACAGTTGCTAGAAGAGTAACTGAATACAAGTATAAAAGTGTATGCACCAGCCTGGCAACATAGCTAGGCCCCATCTCTACAAAAAAATTCAAAACTTAGCTGGGTGTGGTGGCACATGCCTATAATCCCAGTCACTCTGAAGGTTGAGGCAGGAGGATCGCTTGAAGCTGGAAGTTCAAGGCTACAGTGAGCTGTGATTGGTTGCATCTAAGCTGTGATTGCGCTCCAGCCTGGATGACAGAGCAAGAAAAAAAAAAGAAAGAAAGTGTAAGCATGACGTCTCACATGAAGGAGATGTAGAAGGCAGTTTCTAAGCCTGAGATGTGGGAACGTCCAATTAATTTCCTTCTATAATCTGGAGTTAAACAGAGATCGGAGTAAGGTTAAGGAAAAGTATATCCCCACTGTCCAAGCACCCCAATGTGTGTGTGTGCGTTCGTGTGTGTGTGTGCGTATGTGTACGTGCGTGCGTGTGTGTGCATGCGTGTGTGAGAGAGTAGGGGCAGGGCCACCCTGCAGCACTCTCTGCCCAGCCTACCTAGCCTACCCAGTGGCTGCCACCAAGAAGGGCGAGATGTGTCTGCGGCCTTGACCCCACTGTCCAGCTGCCTGTGGAAGCCTGGGAATGGAATCCTCAGGGACCCCCAACGTCTTTGCCCCACTCCACCCCTCCTTAGATGGCTGGTCCCCCAGTCGTGTGAGGAGAGAGCTTGATACAGGGGAAGCCCTCTTGCCTGAGAGTCAGAAAGACCTGGACTCTGGCCTGGCTCCAAAGCAGGTGTGCCTGAACCCTTAGCTGTCATGGGTGTGTGACCTGTGTAGTCCACATACCCAGTGCTCAGAATAGCTCCATGCTTGGCTGTCACCATCCTTAAGCACTTTTTTTTTTTTTTTTTTTTTTTTTTGAGATGAAATCTCCCTCTTGGCCCCAATCTGGAGTGCAATGGTGCAATCTCTGCTCACTGCAACCTCCTCCTGGTTCTAGTGGTTGTCCTGCCTCAGTCTCCCGAGTAGCTGGGATTACAGGCATGGGCCACCATGCCCAGCTAATTTTTTCGTATTCTTAGTAGAGATGGGGTTTCACCATGTTGGCCAGGCTGGTCTCGAACTCCTGACCTCAGGTGATCCTCCTGCCTCAGCCTTCCAAAGTGTTGGGATTACAGGCGTTAGCCACCACGCCCGGCCTAAACGCTTCTTAAAGGCTCAAGCCTGTAATCCCAGCACCTTGGGAGGCCGAGCCGGGTGGATCACGAGGTCAAGAGATCGAGACCATCCTGGTCAACATGGTGAAACCCCGTCTCTACTAAAAATACAAAAAATTAGCTGGGCGTGGTGGCGCGTGCCTGTAATCCCAGCTACTCAGGAGGCTGAGGCAGGAGAATTGCCTGAACCCAGGAGGCGGAGGTTGCGGTGAGCCGAGATCGCGCCATTGCACTCCAGCCTGGGTAACAAGAGTGAAACTCCGTCTCAAAACAAAACAAAACAAAACAAAAAAAAGCTGACCTGGTGTGGACAGCTCCTGCCTTGGTTGAAAAGGCAAGCCTCCCCTCTGTGAACCTCGTGGCGAACACGCTGGGCCATGGGAGAGGTAGAAGTAGCTCTGCACGACAGGTAAAACAGGAGAGAAGGAGGAGTGAAGGCCACTCATGCTTCTCCAGGCCCTGCCCTCAGCTCTCCTGGCCCTCTGTCAGCCTTATGCCTCAGGAGTATTATCCCATTGCACAGACAAACAAACTGAGGCTCAGAGGCAACATGACTTGCCTGAGTAGCCTCCCTGTTCCCAGGAAAATCAGGAAACTTTGGAGCAGGAAGGCCCCATGGAGGTGGAGGCTGGGGACTGGCGAGGCATGCAGGTGCCAGCAGAGCCCGCGGAGGCCAGCAGCTCCACATTCCTGGCAGGCCTGGCAGGTCTCCTCTCCCTTAGCTCCCTCCTCTGTCACACCAGGTGACTGTCCGAGCCACCCTTCTGAGCCCACCCCGGACCTTTACACTTGCCATTTTCTCTTTTGGGAGTGCCCCTGGTGCCCCCCTGCCATGGAAGAATCTGAGAGCAATAATCATTGATCCCCGCTGGAAAGGAAAGGGAAGGAGGTGGGATGAATGGAACAAGCACTAGCCGCTGCCCCACCAGGCTCTAGACCCGATTTCTCA